GTTCTTATGCTAAAATGCAGATCCAAACTTGCTACTGCTGCTTCAAAATCTCCATCGCATGGCCAGGCGCGGTGGCTGCGCCTGTAATCCCAGCTCTTTGGGAGGCTGAGGCAGGTGGATCACGAGGTCAGGAGATCGAGACCATCCTGTAGCATGGTAAAACCGTCTTTACTAAAAAAATACAAAAAAATTGGCTGTTTTGTGGTGGCAGGCGCCTGTAGTCCCAGCTGCTCGGGAAGGGCAGGAGAATGGTGTGAACCCAGGGGGGCAGAACTTGCAGTGAGAGCAGAGATTATGCTGCAGTCTGGTGACAGAGCAAGATTCCGTCTCAAAACAAACAAAAAATCTCGTCATAGAGGATAATTTTCTTCACAGAGCTGCTGGCACGTTTAGTTTTGTTTCTCCATTTCACCAAGCTCTGTGAGAGCAGGAGCCAAGCATGTTTTGGATAAACGCATTATATCAGAAGTTCTCCTTGCGATTGCTGGACATGTAGTAATCTTTCATTAAGTATTTGAACAAAGGAAGGAATAAATGAACGGTTTTGTGTTGTTACATGCTGTGATCATCATGTTCAGATAGCTTAGAACCTACCCAACATACATTGTATTTATATTCGCTTTTCTGAATCTATTCTAATTCAGCAAATTCTGTAGCTAGGATCGTTTAACAGTCAAGATGTCTGGATTCAGTAGGTGACCTGAAAGTCTCTAAAGTTTTGTCTTCTCTTCCTTATGTGGTTGGTGGAACTAATAATGGGACTTCTAGCCTCATAAATTATTTTAGAATTGGAATTACTGAAAACTAAGCAACAACTAAATTACTGTGATTGTGGAGAAAATTCTGTTACACACACATACACATACACACACTTATCCTCTGCCCACAGAGGTCACAGTAATTGTGATGAGCCCTTTGTGTCTTCATTCGGTGTAGAGCAAATTGTATTTAGGGAGAAGTGGACACAAAAATGTAGATCTTGTTATTTTACTCATTTTTTATTCTTAGGCATCCTGGTATCATAAGCCCAATTTTACCTCGCACATTAACATTAGGTAACATCTATGGTTCATCTATCAATCATGTTCTGAGACATTAGTCTTTAAATTTTGTATATAGATACATTTTTCTGGAGTTTTTTTTTTAAAAGGTGGCCTAGTAGTTTGTAATTGTATTCTTCTCATTGAAAATACTACATGTGGTATAAATGTTGTAACTTTTTGTAAGCCTTTTATAGCACAATTTTTTAAATTATGTTTTTACATAGGTAATAAAAACATAAGAATTCAAATAATATAAGATAGATATTTGATGAAAACATCTGTCTGCTTGGCTCAGTTCTTTGTCGATGACTTTTGACTTTTAATATCTTCCAGAGATAGTCAGTGAATTTTTGTTTTTATTTTTTGTATTTATTTTTGAGACAGAGTCTCGCTCTGTCACCAGGCTGAGTGCAGTGGCGCAGTCTTGTACTGCCAGCTCCGCCTGCTGGGTTCACGCCATTCTCCTGCCTCAGCCTCCTGAGTAGCTGGGACCACAGGCACCTGCCACCACGCCCGGCTAATTTATTTTATTTTTATTTTTTTGTATTTTTACTAGAGATGGGGTTTCACTGTGTTAGCCAGGATGGTCTGGATCTCCTGACCCCATGATCCGCCCGCCTTGGCCTCCCAAAGTGCTGGGATTACAGGCATGAGCCACCGCGCCCGGCCTTTTTTTTTTGAGTCAGTGAATTTAGAGACATAAAATTTTATAGGATTTTTTTTCACATGCCTGGTAGTATCAAAGGAATTTTTTGAAATTAAAAAAAAATATATCTTTGGATAAGATGTATAAATTCTGGGGTTAAATGTGTATGAGAAGCTGGCATGGTAGTGTGCATCTGTAGTTCTGGGAGGCTGAGGAAGAGGATCCGTTGTCCTCAAAGTGTTTTAAGAACAGTCTGGGCAACACAGCAAGGCCACCACCCTGCATTTCTTTTTAAAAAAAAAAAAAAAAAAAGGCCGGGCGCGGTGGCTCATGCAGCAATACGTAACTATGAGCCCCCCCGCCCGGCCTTTTTTTTTTTTTTTTTTTTTTTTTTTTGAGTCAGTGAATTTAGAGACATAAAATTTTATAGGATTTTTTTTCACATGCCTGGTAGTATCAAAGGAATTTTTTGAAATTAAAAAAAAATATATCTTTGGATAAGATGTATAAATTCTGGGGTTAAATAATGTATGAGAAGCTGGCATGGTAGTGTGCATCTGTAGTTCTGGGAGGCTGAGGAAGAAGGATCCGTTGTCCTCAAGTGTTTTCGTTCAGTCTGGGCAACACAGCAAGACACCACCCTGCATTTCTTTTTAAAAAAAAAAAAAAAGGCCGGGCGCGGTGGCTCATGCCCGTAATCCCAGCACTTTGGGAGGCCGAGATGGGCGGATCACGAGGTCGGGAGATCAAGACCATCCTGGCTAACACGGTGAAACCCCGTCTCTACTAAAAATACAAAAAACTAGCTGGGCGAGGTGGCGGGCGCCTGTAGTCCCAGCTACTCGGGAGGCTGAGGCAGAACGGCGTGAACCCGGGAGGCGGAGCTTGCAGTGAACTGAGATCCGGCCACTGCACTCCAGCCTGGACGACAGAGCAAGACTCCGTCTCAAAAAAAAAAAAGTGTATGAGAATATTGTTAGAACCATGAAATGCCAACAGGTACTGGAGAAGGAAGTTACTCAGTAGGGGGTAAGGGAATTTCCACAAATGCAAGCTGGGCATTCAAATGGTGTATAACAACAAAGGCAGCACCACATAACGAAGAAAACAACAAAGGCAGCA